GAGATAAATATCAATATCAATATATTAATTAAGTTAAGTTCATGAAATCGTCAATGAGCTCTACATTTTATATATAAATAATTGAAATCAATAAACTTTACAAGCAACCCTCTTCATTTGGCAGCCAGCTCACATACACTATGCATTTCTGTTGTCTCCTGTTCTGCTTCTTGTTACTTTTATCTGTTTTGCATGTACGCACAACCACCCAGGCCACCCAAACCACCCAAATCACCCAAACCACCCGAGCCACCCAAACCACTCAACATACACGACGTTCGTTCGCTTGGCATTGGTCCGACAGTTGGCAAGACACGGGCACACATTCCAGTTCACATGTTGACTTCCACCTCTCTCCCTCCCTGCCTCTCGCTCAGTCAGTCTTTCTCTCTCTCTCAGCCGGTATTATCCGTATTACTCATTAACCTGCGTGCGCTGCAAAATCTCTTTGTTTGCCAACTGACAATCGGCAGCTTTCGCCCCAGCCATGCAGTTTGGCCATTGTTATAAATATATTGTAGATATATTCATTGTACTATTTTACGCTTGATTACAGCCAAAGGATTTTTTGGCGCATACCCAGCACACACCCACCCAACCACACACACACACACACGCACACCACACGCACTCATTGTTCGTTCGCATTTGACCGCGTGTTTTGGCACTCTCTCCTGGCAACCGCTAAGTGGATACGCTTATTATCCTTTTGCTGGCGTTGATATGTGCCCCCGACTCTGACTCTGACTCTGGCTGCTGCCAGTGACTCTTGGCGTTGGCTCTCGCTCTTGCCACTGGCTGACCTGGTTGCCAGCAAATGCCGTGTAATTTTATTCATAAACTCGACCAGAAACGTATTTGCTGCTGGCACAGAGCTTTGGCTTAGCGCTCCGCTCGCATTGCCCGGGGGCATCATTGTTTTTTGGGCTCCGGCTGCTTGGCATAGTAAATATAAAACACATACAGCGCACAGTATGCCTGGCTTTTGTGTCAATGAATACAATAACCAAATTAAATAACCAAGGTGATGACAGACCAAGCGAACGCTCTGCCTCCCGGCTCCCACAGCCACAGCCACAGCCACAGCTGCCAGCTGCCGAAAGGGGTTTAAGATTAAAGCCCAGAAGATGCTCGACTCTAAATGCCGCCGCCGCTGCTGTTGTTGCTGCAATTAGCCCACTCAGTATTTAGACTGCTAATAGATACTTATCGCAGATGCCAGCCACAACAATAACGGCCACTTGAGCATATTGAGAATCATCAAATTGTCTCGATGCATTTATCATTTCAGTTTTTCATTTTTTATTTGTATTCCATATGCATTTCCATTTCTACAGGATAGATACCTCGTGGGCGCTGAAGGAGATTGTAGTGGGGTATTTAAGGATGCGAAATATGGATTATGTATTTTTACAAATATTATATCTGGAGTATGTAATTTATGTGAAAATATACAATCCATGTTTCATAGAGTAAAGTATATTCTATATATTCTATATTCTTGACTTTCCTTACACGACATACTCTCATTTTTCATGCTATGAAAGATTGTAATAAACCATTTGTAAGTTCGTTCGATAATAATTGAACAAACGATAAATATCGATAGGCAACATTCTGACATTCAATGTATGTATTTCATAGTCTTACTGTCTATATCGTATAGCCCCTCATCTGTTCCCAGGTGTCACCCTTCAGCAGCTCAGTTAAAGGAATACAGGGTATTTACTGATCGAGCAGCCGCTGCTCAGACTCGATTATTTATTTATTTATTTGCGTTTATTCGTATAGCACTAAATTGGGGGCCCCAGGACATTCTCATGCGTTGTTGGCTCCGAAATGGCAAACAAATAATGAGATAGACATAAACTCGCATCTGAAGCAGCATTTCGAGTGCAACCTGCTCAGACTTCCCACAATCACACACACACACACACACACACACACAGAGAGAGAGAGAGATTGATGCACATGCGTATCCTTTAGATACATTTACTTGAACCTTTTATTACACTCGAGCGAGCAGCCTGCGAAACAAGCAACTAGGCAATCCGTCGGTCCGTCGGTCCATCAATCCGTCAGTCTGTTAGTCCTTCAGCCAGCCAAGGAACACTTCAGGTCAAAGACTAACCTCTGCCCTTATCTGATTTATTTTGATTTCTTTGTAATGTTCGTGTTTGCGTTTGCGCTGCTGATTTTTGGCAAATTGTGTGCAATTTAGCTGCAATTAAATTGCAATTTCGCCGCCGTTGTTTGCCTGTGGCATGCCACACACATTGCGCGTACTGCGTGGCAAGAAGGCAAATTGCGTAGCGCCTTGCAGCCTGTCGAGATGGCGGCTATTGTGTGTTACACCTTTGTGCTGTCAGGGCCGGGACGAGTGAGATGCCTTTCAGCGTGTTTATACCACAATTATTTTCGCACTAAAAGCGGCTCTTCTCTGGGCGGGCGGGCGGTCCGTCGGTTGCATGGTAGGTCGTCCTTTGCCCCTCTGATCGTTTGGCTCGCTTTGGGCTTTTCCTCTTGGCGCCTCTTGACTTGCGGCTTGGCTTTTGTAGTAGTTGCTGCTGCTGTTGCTTTCCTTTGTGCGCGCCGCACAAAACAAAATGGCCGACTTCTTAACAGCCCCTATAGCCGGCCACGCCCACCGACCGACCTGCCCGCCACATTTGTTTGTTTGTGTGCAGCGGCGTGTGCTTTGTAATTTGTATTCAAAAATAAAACAGATCTGCCTTCTGCCAAATAAACCAAAATTCCTTTGTGCAACATAATTACTGGGCTTTGTGACGCCTTCTACCTCCACCTCTCTCGCTCTTGCTCGCTGTCGCTCTCGCTCTCATGCTCTCAGTCTTGCTGTCGTGGATTTTGCGGTCTCTGCTAGGTGCTCTAATCTTGGCTCACAGACGCTCAACTTTTTCCTTGATAAACTTAATCAAAAAACTGTTTGACAAAGAAATTGCTCAGACTGCACTTTACAGAGCAATTTACAACAAGATTTGCACTTGCAAAGTTTTCCAGCTTAAAGACTCACTTGAAGATACCTTAAATTATACTAACGGATCGGAACTTTGTTATTTTAATTTGTTTTATATTACAGTCGAGTTCTGATAATTCGAAATGGCAAGGGAATCAGTTTTTTTCGATTTACACAGAAATTTAAATTATCGAGAACGAACTTTTTTCAAGGGTATAGAATATTTTCGATTTATCACGATTTTCGATTTAGCGAGGTACAAATTATCGAGACTCTACTGTATATTGTTACTATATTAGTGCTAGTCTAGTCAGTGCTAGTGTTAGTCCATGCAATCCTCCATGCCTTCCCGTCTTTCATCTATGTAATATTATACTATTGATAGAATATTATATTTAATTTAAATTGTAGAATTATCTGTTATCTAATTTATATATAATACACCCTTCCATCTCTTTTATACAAATCGAATCATTATGTTTTGCTTTAGCTCCTTTTGAGTACGATTTTTTTCAGTGTACACGTAATACATTTTAATTACAGCTAAGCTGCGAATAAGAATTATTTGATTTGTCTAAAAACGTGTAAAATTGCAAAATATTTATACGTAAATGTATGTATAGGTACATGCATAAGTGTTTATTAATTAAAATGAGATCAAATCAGGCGCCCAAAAGGTGGCTAAGACGCTGTTGGCCACGTTAAGCGAGGGGTGGAGTGGAGAGGCGCTGAAGCGTGTGCTGAATATTTAATTTAATTAAATTCGCTTTGAATTAAACAAGACAGCAACAGCAACAACTACAACAACAACAACAACAACAGCACAATGCAGCCGGCGACAACGTAATGAGAAAAATTTGCATAAATATGTCCTGGCTGAAGGAAGGAAACTTTTCCTGGCTGCCAACAGAAATTCACAAATTGAAGGTGACAATCAGGACGACGCTAATCCTTTGCAGCCAAATGCTGCCAGATGGATGCCAAACACATCAGAGCAAATGGCAAATTAAAAAATATTTTAACCAAACATGCGCAGCGCCCCTCGCACCGTCGCCGTCACGCCCCCCTGCTGGAGGATAACAACATTTTCAAATGTTTAAAAAAAGAGTTTGCTACTTATTGAAAAGCGGGTAAAATAAAAAAGAGAAACCAAATGATGAGCACGTGCCGCACATAAAGGACTATTGTCCGGGCGGGCAAGGCGGCTGCATCTAATCCTGATACCGACGGCTTAATGTCACCAAAACATATTTCACTTCTCCATGAAATTGAAAACAAATTTCAGTTTTCAGCCTCGGCCTCGGCCTGGGCGTCGGCTTTGCGGCAAGTTACAAAAATATTTGAATGCTCTGCCAATTGTTATCCTTTTTGTCAGCTCAAGTGTGTGTTTGTGTGTGTGTGCGTGTTTGTTAGTGTGTGTGTGCATTGACCCATTGTGACCATGACTATCCTATCCTATCCTATTCTAGTTGTTATATTGTGCCCGCTTTGTGTGGTCAGGCAGCTTGGCAATTTATTTCGAGTGTCCTTTACCAGGCAGGACTCTCGCCTTGTTGCTGATGCATGAATTATGCGTTTTTGCTGTTTTTGATCATTTTTGCCAGTTTTCCATTTGACTTTCTATCTGCATTCCGTTCTTTCATTACTTTTTCCGTATCTAAGTTTGAAACTTTGCGCTACAGTGGAGCGAATTGATTTTGCATTGGAGGAAAATCAATGAAATAGTAAATTGAAGCTAAGTAAAATGTAGGCAAATGGGAGCTGAGTTATTAACAGTGGAATGAATGGCGTTTTGGGTGAACAAAATATCACATAATATATATGTAAAGGTATAATCATTTGTATGACCTAGAAAATGCATTTTATATAACTTTGTATACAACAGTGGAACAAGATGAGTTCAGTGTGGTCAAACAGACAGTGGACTAAATAGAAATTAAATTTATAAAGAAGAAATATATAAGATTCAGCAAAGTTAAAAAAGAAATATACATATATTCTTACACATGAATATCAGAAAATAAATATAAATCTCTTAAAACATGATTAGCTATATCCTCAACTATCCACATACCATATCATCCTTATATTTATAAGATGATATACAAATCTGTTATGACTGGGCACGTTTGTATCTTGAGCCATATGTTAGTCTCATATAATTAATTTCTGAACTGCTTAAAGTTAAATCTGATCAAATTGCTTGCCACCCACTGTAGAGTAATCCATCAGGGATTACTTGAAACCTATTATATGAAGTCACACATAGGCCATTGCCATTGCCTTTGCCATTGCCTTAGCCTGGTGACCAGCTGGAGTGCTGATGGCAACCACTGTGCACCCCTTTGAGCGACTGCTGCTGGTTCTCTGCTCTAATAAACTTAACAATAACGGCTTTTTTATCAACCCAAACCCAAACTCAAACTCAAACTCGAAACGCAAACCAAACCCAAACCCCGACGACGTTTGTCATAAATAATTCTAATAATAAATTAAATGCATCCGTTACAGCTCGAGTCGAGTACAACAACGTGGCTTGGGTCAGCGATGACTGTGTGTGTGTGAGTGTGTGAGTGAGTGTGTAGACGATTTGCACCCCCATTTGTCTTGCCCAGGACGAGGTAAAGGACCAGCCAGTCAGACAGTTATCCTTGCCAGTGGTGCATAAGCACACAATGAATGAATCTCTCAATGCATTGTACGAATTTCTGTGTCCGCTTGAGGGCACGAATTTTATTTCATTTTATTTTATTTTCAAATTCGATTTGTGTTTGGCTAACCAATTGAATTAAATCGTTGTTACCTTTCTGCTCAAGATTTTTAATTACCAGCAGGCGGCGCACCTGGCCCCGCAAAGGGCTCGCTCAATCAAATTCTTGATGAACTTATTTACACACTTTGCGTGACGAAATGCTGATGGGCAAATGATATATTCCTCCATATATATATGTATATATTTTGTGGCATGCGGCGTGTCAGTCACAGACATTGCCCAACCAGCCCAGCTAACACCCTGCCTCCCTGCCTCCCAGCCGCCCAGCCACCCCCCTCGTTTTAGCCACCCTCAATCAACCAGTCATCAGGCAGCAGTCAACCCCCATTTCGAGCTTTGCCTTTTGACACGCGAGTTGTTGCCACAGATCCAACGCCCGCGCACCCTCTTGCCCCCGCCCTTCTCCGCTTCACCTTGTCTTGCCTAAATATGTATTACAAAGTGTTTTTGCGCCCGCGGCTCTTCCGTTCGACAAAGGAGGCGGTCTCAGTGGGTTTGGGGCGCGACGTTTATTGGCAATACACATGGCTCGTAATTGTGCCTAGGCAGTGGAAACCGCAAACCCTCCAAAGAGCGTATCCTGAGTCGACCTGGACCCACGCAGACAATGTCAAAGTGTGATATTTGCGCTTCAAATACTTTTGCACACAGTCCAGAGTTTGGCTCTCCTTTTCCGCCTTTTCCGAATATGAAGAATATGTTTTGCTGGCATTTTGAATTATGCTCAAGTGCTGCCGGGGACGGGGCTATGCTGAGGGAGGGGGTCTATTGGTTATTGGGCGCTGGGGACAATCCATTGAAAATTGAAAATTATCTTGTGATATTTTTTTATATCTTTATTTATTGGGGAGTAGACGTCGACGATGGATGAATGAAATTGTGACAGTGCTTCGGTTTTTGAAGGGCATCGCAATGCGAGCTGCGAAATGTGGACAGAGGTTTTGGTTATGAGTGGAGTTTATTTGGGAGTTTATTATGGGAAAACAATGGGCGTTTTGAAGTGTGTTAGGAAATTTTTAGGAATTTTCATAATTACTTTTCAAAAGCAGTAACTTTTCTATGGGCATGGACCTCATAGAGTGCCTAGAGTTCACTTCTAGTCTTCATATTTCATCTTTCGACTTGTTCATCTATGAACTGTTGTCATTGTTTTCAACTGAAATAGGAAATTATTAAACATTTTTTAGTTGTTATAAAAATTTTTATAGCCATAGATCATCAATTGAATAATTAATTTATGGAAGACAGCTGTACCAAAAATATGTATGTTATCTTATAATATTAGCTGTTGTATAATTCTGCTCTTAAATAAATTTGATAATTATTTATTTTGAATTTCTGCTATTCAAGGTTGCCAAAAAGTAATACTTTGACTTTATTGATTGACTTTTTCTCGATAAGAGCTATAAAACCTGTTTATGAGTACTTGATAGATAAATACAAACATTTATAATTAAATGTTGTGTTTGGAAATTGTTTATCTTTATCTCACAAACAGTATAATAGTCAAATACAACCCATGACAACCTTTCAACAGATGACTGATGAACAGGAGAGGAGTCTCATATTTCATCTCATAATTCAGAAATTAAATCTCACAAAAGTATAGCTGGTATTATGTACTTAACTATATATCCATACAGCTCTAACACTCTAGACGCTGATGGAATTTTCATTTGGCAACAAGAGAGGTAGAAGAAGACAGAAAAAACCGTCTTTTCCTGCTTGTCTGGCAGCCTTTGGAGTCTCTCGACAATGCGAAGTGGCCACAACTCGAGAGGGAACAATTATGTGCAGCATTTAAAGACTAAATTTCCTGGAATTAAGTGGGCTTTACGCTGGCAAAAGCTGTTGCTGCTCCGTCACTGTGCTGCCGTCGCTGACGCCGATGCCGACGCTGACAGAGGCTGCGATTGCGACTGCGCTCGCGATTTCAAGAGAAATCAAATCGCGCACAAAGCCAAAGCGACGCGAATCACTTGAATATATAAACTTATGTATTGTATATGTATACTTTACACATAAGTTCCGATTGTTTGGAATTCAATATGCCAAGCCGGAGGGGAATATTATAGAGTATTATATATACATGTATATATGTATGTATGTATGTATGTATGTATGTATGCATGTATACAATGCACACGCGAGTGGCCCATTTTGTTGTATTGAGCACAATGGAAACTACTCGCAGCCATTGTGTCCCATTGTGCGAATGTGTTAAAAAGTTGTAAGCGAGTCCTGCGAGTCCTGCCAGCTCTTGTGCGCCTGCGCGGCGTCTTAAATTTCCCTGCAACGCATCCTGCACCCAAGCTAAACGAATCTACGATTAATTCCCGAAAAAAAGAGAGAAGAGAGAGAAGAAATCGTTTCCATTGAATTTCTGAAATTGTAATTCAATTAAAATGCGAAGTGGAACACTTGGAGTACGATATTTCCGCCCTTTGTTCGCCTAATTGCAGTTGTAATTGATATTTGCAGTGCGTCGTAGTTCGTAATTCAATTAAATACGTCGACAATAGATTAATTGTGCGTGGCCACAATACACGATACGCCGTGTGTGATATGTTGTCCTATTGATGCGGTTTTTGTGGGCTGCAACAGAATGACAAGCCAAAAATTTGCCATGTTTCAGCGAACTAACTATTAATATTGCGCATACGCCACGGATGCCGGCACGTTTCGCTCGGAACATGATATGAGTTGTAGTACGTGTACACACATACACCCATAAAACACAAAGTGAAGGGCTTCCGCTGGAAGTGATAGACTAGGACATATCCATTGCTTGAGTTGGAGTAAGAAATGTAGCCAGAGAGACATGAGTAGGGAGAAACGGAAGATCAATGGGAGTGAGAGCGAATAAGAACAGTTACAGAGAGAAAAAGGAGAGAGAGAGAGCGAACGAGAGAGTAAGGAAAAGAGCGAATAAGCACAGGGACAGAGAGAAGAAGGAGAGTGAGGGAGCGAACGAGAGAGTAAGGAAGACAGCGAAGGTGACACATAGTAAGACATACAGAGAGAGAGAAAGACAAAAGTAGGAGGCGAGGAGAAAACCACAAGGAGATTCTTGAGAAGTAGATAGAGAGAGAGAGGGGGGGGGAGGTAGAGGGGGAGAGAGAGAAAGAGATAGAAAGTGGGAAATAGAGAAGAACACAAACATATAGGCAATAGAAAGAGGAAAATAGATACGAAGATTTCGAGAGACTGAATTAGAAAATATTTTGCTAGATAGAAGAAAAGCAGGAAAAGGCATATTCATATAATTAGAGAGAGATGAGATAATTGAAGATAGAGTGAAGATAGATAGAAAATTGTAGAAAACAGACATCAATAAATATTCAACGGTCGCGGTTAAGAATAGAGAAGATTTGATAAATATATTGCATTTGCTATAAGGGCGCAGGTTATGCATCTCACAAATCGAGATCAAAGTGGATTTATATCTCGATTTTTTTATTGGGCCAATCGAGAGAAACTCTTCTGAGTTTTCATGCTGCTGCCAAGGTGCAAATTTACCCTACAGTAAATCATCATGCCCACTTCGTATACAATCTATGAAATTATAGCATATAAAAGGAACGAGAGCTTTATGTATGTCAATCCGCATGACGTCAGGCATCAGGCATCAGCCATCAAGCGTTGTCAGGGATGTATGTAATTTGTATATATGCTCATGCACATGGCAAATTATGTTTCGACAGGCGGAACCAAATAGTCGAGTTATAAAAGACAAAATAACTTTGTTAACGAGGCTCTTAAGCACACGCATGCCCACACACGCCACACTCCCACACTCCCACGCACACACACACGCACGTACACCAACACATGTGCAGAGTACGTGAAAATGTGAGCAGAGCAAATGCCAAATCGCTTGCTCCCACAGCGCATCAGGCTGGCTGGTAAGCTAGGAGGCAGGGAGACTGAGTGGCAGGGCGACGGAGTTGCTCGCACATTATCCTTTGCAGAAATGCTAATGTCCCGGCGGTTGCCAGCCAAAGAGAATATAACCGAAAAAAAGTAGAGCCAAAGAAATGTACATAAATATGCAAATGTGGCTTGCGGCATAGTTGCCGCCTTGATATGAAGTCGTTAATGGGCTGCTTGATAGCGATTGCTTCTTTTCTATTCTTTCTTTTTTTGTGAACATTATATATATTATATCCCGTTTTGTAAGAGTGCACGAATAGAGCTCGTTAGACTTGCAGCATTCACTTAATATGTAGATTTTTATTTAGCAACAAATAAGAGATTTGATATATGTATATTAGTAGCACCTTAAACTATTTGTAAATCAAAATACAAATTTGGATGAAGTAGTATAGAGATTTTTTGTTTCTATTGAATATATATTATAGATATACGAGTTTTATTAATGTTGAATTTAAGATCTATAATTTTTCTATAAATATTAAGGTAATCTATAAATATTAAGGTAATAGCTAATTTCATGTTTCTAACTTTTATAATAGTCGAGTTCAAAGAGAACATCTTATAGAGAACAGCTCATATCAAAGTAGTCTCTGTCAACTGTTAATCTTTCTAAGATTAGTCTAGTCAGATTTTTCCTGTTATTCAGGGTATTCATAATTCAGTAATCTTTGCCCAAGCTCATCGCGAAGGCGTTGCACTCACATCATCTAATTTCCAGTTGAATTTCAATATAAAAATACTTTCTCGTTTTCTATCTCAATTTTTTCGGTTGCGGTGATTGCGATTGCTTTTTGCAACAGCTATTTCGACACTAAACCAAAATTTGAATAAAAATGTGCGTAAATTGCAGACATTCTGCAGCAAGGATTGCCAAAAGGATGAACTGAATCGATATCTCATTGTCTCAATTCGATACGCCACCAAAAGGGGGCAGCGTATGCTCTGACAAATTGTTAACAATTCCAAATGGAAGAAGGCCAAAAATCAGCCAGAATATAGAATATGGAATATATGACAGCGGAGCAGGGGGGCGGGGGAGGGGGCGTCTAAGCAGTTGACAAAGAATTTCAGGGCAACGATTCGTGAGCCAAAGTCGAAATTTGCATGACTTCAATGCCGTTTTAATTGAGTTTTAACTGAAGGCCATGGGCGAAGGGCTCGGGGCTCACGCTCTGAACCACCCGTTGCTGTGCAATGCCAACAAGCGTTTAACCACATTTAAATGAAATTTATCACCAGCTGCGAGGGACGAAATAAGTCGCATGCCGCACACCAGTTAGGTTTGTGTATATGTGTGTGTATGTGTGAGGATGGAAGTGTGTGTGTGTGTTAGAAGGCATTGCCATGCCAAGTGGTCAGAGCTTGGTGTGCCAGTGGACTATGTCCTACGCCATTGCAGTTTGTAATTATGAAACTATGCAAGGAATATGACAGAGCTGTGTATGTGTGCGTGTGTGTGAGCGGTTCATATATTTGAAACTTTTCTCATTGGTTGCGCTGTAGAATGTTGTGCATGTGTGCGTGTGTGTGAGAGAGCAGCCATTGTATTTGCCGCAACTCGAAATCAATATCACGTTGTATCCTTCAGCGGCAACAAAAGGAGCTGCTGATTGACAGAAACAATTCACACACACACACACACATATTCACGCACTGAGGAAGCGAACAACCCTTCAACACTCAACTACATTTAACACATAATTATATATACATACATGGCATGTACATACATATATACACATATACATATATATTAAATACAATACGCATACACTTTTATTTCCTTTGAGGCCGCAAATAATATAAAAACAAAAACTACTCGATCAACAAAGCGCACAAAGGACAACGCCGAGAATCCTTTTTTGTTGCCTCGTTCTCTTCGTGTTTCGCTGCCTGTCAATTGTGATTGCTGGGCGCAAGGGCCGGCGGGGGGAGGCAGCCGGGTGGCAGGCAGGGGCGGTTGGTCGCAGGGGCTGATCCTGCTGTCGATTCAGCTCCCATACAAAAGCTGCAAAATAAAATGTATTTCTTGCATTGTTTGATATACCCTAAATACTCGAATGTGCCAGCAGAGGGTATCATAAAATAAATCTATATATGTATATATCGGTAAACAAATATAAATACCTCTTCTATAATTTGCTTAATCGCTTAGAAAAATGAATTTAATACTTATTTTTCGCATATCTTAATTATTTCACATTTCTACTGGGTATCAGCTAGTCGACCAGGCGTGCTTAGCACATTCCGACATGTTTATTTTATATATTTTATTTCTGTCCACTTGAGCTTTATCATTTGCTCGCTTCCACGCCCGCTGCCGTGCCCGTTCCCGCTCGGTGCGTATGCCCGTCTCGCTCTTGCTGCCTGCTCTCGGTTAGTTTGTCGCCGCCTTCATTTTGACTATTTTTATGACCCGCTTCGCTGGCTTGCAATTTATTTTAATATAGCTTCTATCAAATGTACTGTGTTTTTTTCGCTTCTGCTTTTGCTTTATTTCCTTCCACTGTTGTTTGCGGCGCTCAACTGTATTGTTATGCCTGGCTCTCGCTCACACTCGCATACGCTCGGTCTCACTCTCGCCCAGTGAGCTCCTGTGGCCGACATTCCCCCGGCTGCTCCTTTGTTCTTTCGCTAGCAGCTTTTTTTTGGAGTAGCTCTTCAGTTACGTTGCCATTTTTGTGCGCGCTCTGTACTTTATTATTATTCTTTTTATTTTGTTTATTCTTTGAGCATTTATTTTGCATATTGTATTTTGTATATTTCGTTTTACACGCCTTTTGTCGTTGCCTTTGTATTATCAAGTATCCAATAGTGCGCACTTTTCTTTATATTATTTGCCTCGTTTTGTTCTTTCACTTTTCTGTGTTAAATATTTTGTAATTGCAGATTTTTATTGTTGGGATATGAGAAGAGCGAGATCAAATATAAATATATGTATGTGTTTGTATAAATATTGTAAATAAATGATGTAGTTGCCTTTATATACATATGCATTTTC